ATCAAGACGCCTGCCATTTGATATAAATAAATAAATAAACATCTCTCTGCGCGTTTTAGATCCTCAATGACAAATTAGTATTCAAAACCGTATAGTCAAATCGCAATATAAGGTAGAGAAGTGGCTGTTGCGTTCTGATTTTCTAATTGAAATTCTTTCAATGAGAAGTTGCTTACAACAAGCCTTCAACAATGGGCAGAAAACATCGAGTCTGTTTTAGTTAGACAACGAACTCGACAACGCATCTGGTATAGAACTCGAATTAGCCTTCTTTTACAAACAAAGCCCACGTTTCCACTCCATGTTAAAGCTTTGGAGAAATCAAAGTCTTAGGTATTTCGAGATGCTATATAGAAACAAAAACAAGCTCTATTTTTCATTTAAAATGCCAATTATTACTGGAATTTCTCTCCCCCTCCTCCTCCTTCGTGTATTCTTACTTTAATCAGGAAAGCGAATAATCATTTTATTCCATTATTTTAATTGTTTGGAATCTACTTCAGCATCACGCAATTTATTGAAACCCCTAAACTCATGCAGCGTGCATTGAGAGTCATTAATAGAATCATTTCATGGATTGGAAGTTAAGGAATTCTAAATACTTTGGCCAACTTTACTAACTGTTCTAGCCTCGTTCAAATTGAAGAGGAAGTGGTGCTAATTAATAGTCCACATTATATTGTCATCAGTATTAAATGAAAATGCTTAGAGATAAGATCAAATTACCCCAAAATTTTTGGTGAGCTTGATGACAAATAATGCTTTCCAACGTCATGATAGAACAGCAAAGAGATTTTAAATTTCATTAAATATTACCTCCACAGTTGGAGTAAAAATTCAGTCGAGAGCCCTCAAGAACTGCCCAGCCGTAGGAAGACACAGATCTGGTGGTTTGAGGAATCCACTTCTTCGTCACCCCGTGATAAGATTTGGGTGCAGTCACTATTTTTCGAGCAAGAGAACCCATGTGAGTCGGATTTTTACTCTCCTCATTGGATTTATTAACACCTGAAGTACTTCCGCTTTTTAATGTGAAGCTGTTGTTATTCACGGAAGCACGACCACTTGGACTCCAACCGTCTGGGGATTTTGGAAGCCGATCCTGGAAATAAATGGGAACAAAACACCTTAAACGTCAAACCTTGAACTAGGTTAGTCTTGAAACAATTTAGTAATTTAACTTATCAATGGCGTAATAAATTAAACTGATCCGAATTATTGGATTGGTGTCACTAAGGACAAATTCATGTAAGCTTTCTTCGGTTCTTCTGGGAACTTGAATCAGATTGAAAATTACGCGAATTGCATTTAGTCACTAGTACCAAAACAACTTGATACGGAATTTCTGACTTGATTCAAAATGTAGTCAATTGACCTAGCATTTTCGGCCTTTGGATATGAAATGAATAAAGCAAGTAGACTAATCTCCTTAGAACTCATATGAAATACAAGCCATTGAATGCACCGATCTGATTTCCATTTTTTATTTTTTTTTCAAGAATATTTAAACTACTGAGTCAGAGTACATATGAGAAATTAAAAAAGGTCATTTTCGCCTTATTAAGGAAACTATCGATTACTTTACAATAGAACAAAGGATGACTAGCTCTGCATTTACCGAAAATACTCTTTATTCCAATTACTTGTGAAAATTCCATAACTTTCGCCTTAATATCCTCAAGGGCTCTAACCCCACTCCCACCAGCCTATCTTGAATAGATAAGCTAAGCGAATCACCGTTATTTCTGTAACTGACTTGTTTCCTTCAAGTACATATGCACTTATTACTTCACGCGGGACCTTGCCAAGTAACTCGCAAATCCGGAGTGTGCGATAGACTTACCTCCACGTAGTGCACCCTAGGTAACGTATATTCATACAGCAAAAAGAGTCTAGTGACTGGCAGTTGACTTCTCACTTCAAACTACTATCACCCCACCGACTGTGTCATATTCGACTACTTCCACAGTACTCACCTCACCTATTCTCTACCTTTGTGTCTACCTCTTTTACATATTTTAAACACTCTTCTGTCCCCCCCCCCTCCTTTCGACTCGTTGTCACTTTGATGTTCCTTCCCCTCTGTGAAATCTGAAGTCAACTAAAGGGCTAATGATAACCATCAAGGCGCCTGACATTTGATATAATAATAATAATAGTAATAATAATAACCTTGCCAAGTAACTAGAATAAAACACCTATTACTTAGCGCGCGCTCACACACGCACACACACAGAAATTCGCTTGACATGCTTGTACGCCTCTCCCCCCCTCCCCCCCCCCCCCTTCCCAGGCCACCCTACTCCATAATCCACAGCGCAGTTCAAACAAGATATTTCTACCTAGGCAGGTTATTTGTCTTCTTTTTTTAGAACTGTTGTTTGCCACCTGCTTGTCTTCTTTCATAAGTTGGTGACCCGGACTCTTTCAACTGTTACTGCAAACAAATTAATTTAAAAATATACGTGAAGTAGTTTATTTCTACTATTTTATTAAGTTAAGGGGCTTTTGTTGAGGCAAAGCCCATTGGGAAAAATCAAAGCATAATTAGTTTTAAAAATAAGGAGAAGAAATAATTATTCATTGCACTTAGGGAAAAGTCAACGAAAGAATAATAGGGACAATTATAACTCCGATTAACTCTACAGATCTATATTCTCTAATTTAATTCCCACTGGTGCAAATTAGATGCAATAGATAGCCAACCGCGCTGATACATTCTATTCACCTTGAGGGTCATCCAAACATGATACCTCCCACCTATCTAAGTTAACATCTCCTATAATGAGCCTGAGAGCATTTTTTAGTGTATTTATAAATAAACCAATAAGTGAGACTACATTTAGGAAGGCAAACTCATAGATACCAATCCGAATAACTCCAATTAACTGTACAGATCTATGTTCTCGAAACACTCTTCTATTCTGCCCCCCCCCCTCTCGACTTTTTGTCACTTTGATGTTCCTCTTCCTTTCTGTGAAGCCCGAAGTCAACTAAAGGGCTAATGATAACTATCAAAAAGCCTGCCATTTGAAATAAATAAATGACTCGTAGATATCAATCCGAATAATGACACCAAATATAACAGATGGAACTGACGGGCCATATTCAATTCCTAAGGTTAATGGTTCAAGCTTTGAATTAATAATGAATCATAAAACGTGAAAAAGTCAACAACTCTAATTATTTCCATTAAATCTCTGATAATAAGGTAATTAACACAAATGCCAGGATATACTGTGCGTCAGTCAATCCACCTGTCTTTCAATGCAGAGTCAATGAATTTGACAATACTTAATTTTAAATGCGGAGAATTGCCAATTGCATTGATTTGTTAAGAAAAGTTGAGAGCTGTAAGATTGGTAGGCAAAAGCGCAAGATGGAATATTGCTGATCTTTGAAGATATCTCATTTTGGAAAATGACACATTGACAGGTTATGGTTCAATAACCCTTGCCTTTTTGAGGACACGTTTACAGATCTGCTATATCGTTTTTGGCATATATATATATTGAATTTCTTGTTTTCCTTATACTGAATGCAACACGTAAACCTGAATTCTGGCTATATGCTTGAGGGATTTTGTTGGAATTTCAAATAACCTGCCAAAGAGAACCATCAGACCTTATTTCGGATAAGATTGAATCAATTAGAACACACGATGACGTAAAGGCAACTTCAAAGAGGTATTTAAAGTTAGTAAGAGTCATCTTAAGAACTCGACAAGACAAGTTCATGCACTATTTGTGCTAACATCAAATCAAAAATAAAGGTGAAACTTTGCAAAATTTAAAAATTAGAAAAATAAAATTATATATATATATTTTTTTTATATTTATATATATTAAACTTGTGACCTTGATATAATTTCAATTTGCCTCGCTGGGGCTGGTAGCTGCTATGGCAAATTCGCTTTCTTTACGAATAAATGTATTAAGAGTTGTTTGTTTAAAATGCTCGCGAAAATGGCGCTTCAATGTCGAGAATGCTCGTCGATGAAGTGTCTTTGTTAACTCTATTAGAATTTCAAACCCAAAAAATCGGATAACGGAGTTATTAATTTTGAAGTTGAATCTTTAATTCTCGTTGCTCTTCCAGTTTTTTTTTATTTCATCCTTTCCTATCTTTAAAATGAAAGATTCAAGTTGGCATCTAATTTTTATATCATATCTGGATAATGATTAGTAACCTCCTTATTTTCATCTTTTCAAGGAATTGTCCCTAAATATTAGACAGATAAATGTTTTTCAGAATTGAAGTAAATGATACAATTTCGCAAAGCTAACAAACTCATATTTTTTTACTTTTAGGGGCCCTTACCCTCTTAAGGCATCAATAAATTATCAACGACATCTTTTGTGACTTATGACGACTTGAAAATACGCAAAAGAATCTGCAAGCAGCAGAATAAAAATATCGAATTTCCTATTCCTGTGCAAAGTTTTGGAATGTGCAAAAAAATATCTCTGAAAGTGTTAAAATTGAACGAAAAACTAAGCAAATAAATATAAATCTCTAATACCATGTCGGCCAAGCCAAATGGCTGGAGAGATAGAGAGAGATAAAAGTTTTATAGGCAATAATTAAAATTTTCACTTCTTATCGACGTCAATTTTGTTCAAAACAAATCCGCAAAAAAGCCGAAAAATGATCGAGATTTTGAAAGATACCACTTCTCTCATTCCCACTTCCTCTAAATATAAATGGGGAGCACAATTACAAAAAAAGCTTTTTTTACCAAAATTGAATTCATTGCGTTTTTTTTTAATTTTTTTAAATTAAATAGATCCAGTGAAAATGATGAAATAAAAAAAATAATCACAATTTTGGAAAGTATTTTCCTATCACTGATGGATAACAAACAGCGTTGAGAAGCAAAGTAAACAAGCACAAAAGTGTCAAGAAAAAACACGAAACGAATCAATGCAAATTGCAAGGCAACTTGTAAACAGCTAGTGAAAGTGAAGTGATCGAACCTTTCAAAACATCATCTTCAATTTAAACTATTGCACAAAGTAATTACAAATCTGTACTGGCATTCTAAAAATCGCGCGAAAAACAACACTAGGCAACTGTCGTGTCTACGCTGTAGCAATCTACGTTTTTCCTAATGGACATAATATTGTCTTCAACGAAATGAAATTTACTCATGAAATCGATGACAGAAGTCGATTTATCGATTCTGAGTGACCAGAATTCCTTCAGAATACTCCTCTTTTCAATGTCTTACATTAATGGATTTGAGGTGCTTCACAGGAAATTTCATTTATGCGTAAAAAGAGCACGATTAAAGGTAAAGTTAGTGACTGGAAACGATCTATCGAACTTTCTAAGGAGATTGGTAAAAAACCTTTGCCAGACCTATCAGAATTAGGTTATGAAAAACACGGTTACAAAATTAACATCTAATATAATTACTGCAAGTTAGAGTTTAATCAAATTTAAAAGATGTATCTTAACTCAAAATGAACTTTTGATGGATACTTGCGTGCACATGATTCCCATTCTTCAACTTTATCGAGAAATAAGCATATTTCCCAATAACGCAAATTTGATACGATCATTTGGTGAACTTAAAATAATAAATATGTGGACTGCTCTATGATCATGCACTGGTTCGTCTCCCAAGTGGTTGTCTTTCCCATCCTGGTAATAATTAAAAAAAAACTCTCATGATCTCATTGTTCTGAGTGTACTAAAACAAGCAAATGTGAAATTTTGCCTCCCGAACTACAAACCTAAGCCAGTTAACGTCAAATGCGATGTAATCAAATGAAAAACAATGGCAGCTCATAAAAAAATTCCGGCTAAAATCAGATTAAGACACCCAGCCCAGAACAATGACCCAAATAGAGAAAATTAGAATGGCCCAAGCCAAATTTAGCGTGGATATGATTATAACTTCAACTTACTCTGGTCGCGAAGTTTGTATTTTTCGTGCTCTGATTACCATCACGCAAGTAAGTATTCAAAGAAGTTGGTCTATTTTCATATCTGGAAGCAGTTGATGACGAGGAAGGCGAGAGAGGTGGCAAAATCCTAACTTGTTCGGCTTTAGGGGTTGATGGCGTTTCAGGAATGGAAAGTGAAACCAAGGAGGACTGAGAACCACCAACCTCTCCTGAATGCTTCCTCATCTTTGAGAAGAACTTAGCAGCTCGTTCACCAACACTCAAACGGTTAGGTGATTCCGTAGGCGCATCACCACTAGAAGTCACTGTCAATGTCGAGAAGCTTTTGCGCGTGTCAGAGGGATGGGGAGAACTGGTTCGTTTAAAGAGCTCCATAAACTTTGAATTGCTTTTTTGACCCTGTGAACTGAGGTTAAAACTGATACGTTTCTTGGGTGATGTCTGCGGCATCTCATTTACCGGTGAGTCAATGTCACTGGAGGTGCTCACTGGGCGTACAAACTGAGCATTGGTCATACCAAAGGAGTCATTGTGACTAACGGCAGGAGGAATTTCAAGTGTTGTTGGCACGGCGAGTTTTTGAACAGGCTCAGTTATCGGTTCAATTGTACCTAGGTTACCAAATATTGCTCGAAGATTCTCCTGGGCTTTCTGGTCAGCTGCATTTTCGGTGGGTGTTACTCGTTTAGATCTAAGAGGGATTACAAAAATCAAAAAAAAATTCTCACTATGGTAAAAGAATATTTTTATAAGAAGAAAACACGACTACATTGAGACAGTTAGTGCTTTTTTTCACAGATCAAATCAATACACACTGCCTATTTTCCCAAAATTGTTATTGGGAAAAAACTCATATGCATCCCAAAATTTTCGTTGGGAATTCTAATGAACTACGATATACTGTTTATGATTAGAGTCTAAAATTGTAGGAAAAAATAATTTTCAAAAGCTTCCATCTCGTCGATCGTAAAAAAAGAAATATTACGTACATCGTGCCGACGGAAGTAAGTGCTTAGTGCTCTTTTACTTCCTTGCCAACAGTAAACCCCCCAAAGCCAAAGAAGTTACCCCTCCATATGAATAAACTTCCGTTTGACTTAAAAATGTGTTAAAAAACTCTGTTTTTAAGTAACTTTAAGAATCTAGAAGGCCTTTCAACCGCGGGAAGCATGCGAATAGTGAAACTAAAATTGGTCAGGAATTGAGATACACATGAGTATTCATCTTTTAAAGAAGCTTGCTTTTAAAGTTACTTAAACTATAGTTCTAGTTTAGCAGAACAAATGTTTGCATTCCATAGGGTTATCTTAATTCCAAATGCCAATAAAATCACATCGATAGAATTTAAATAAAAGTATGCATTTCAGAAATGACTAGGGGCAAAAGATCATGAGGAGACATTGCAATATGCAGATCTCATTAATGACAGCGTGTCAAACTCCCCCCCCCCCTCCCTGAAACATAGTCAACAGAGAGTATATTTGACTCACCCGTCAAAGATAGCATCTCCTCTACTCATCCACTAGGTTGTAATTAGAGAAAAATAATCTGAAAAACTGTTCCAAACTGATCTTTAAAGAAAGTTGTCCCATATAAGCTGCGTGTGTAATAGCCCTTCCCCGCAAAAATTATGGAAATTTTGATGCATAAGCGTAATCTGATCCGGATAAGTTATATGTATGGCTAACTTACACGCCAGAAAATGTACGACTTTCTCTTGGATAAGGAAGCACACAAAAATTAATAAATAAATTCATTGAAATTTTTCTATATTATTTTAAAAGATTACCACAGGAAAAAATTCGAACATCAAATTGGTTAAAACTTATCTTATTTTTAGTAAAATTACAAATTAAAAATTGCCACTGAAAATAATCTTTGAAATTTAGAAAAAAGTAACTGGTAATACAAATAAATAAATCGTTTTCTTTAAATAATATGTAAGAATAAAAAAATACGGATCCGAGATATACCCCAGTTGTTGGGAAGCCCGTATAGAAGTTGAAGGACTTGATTAGAGTTTGGTAATTCTTTGCGGTAACTGAACACTCTGTGAACACACGCCTTCAATTAGACCTTCCTTGAACAAGGGGTGTGCGATAGACTTACCTCCACGTGATGCCCTCTGGGCAACGTATACTCATACGGCAAAAAAGTCTATAAACTGGCAGTTGACTTCTGACTTCAAACTACCACGACCCCCCTGGTTGTCATATCCGACCAATTCCACAGTTCTCACCACACCTTTTTTCTACTTTTGTGTCTGTCTCTTTTACATCTTTGAAACTCTCTACTTCCCTGCCCCCATCTCGATTTTTCCACTCTGATGTTCCTTTCCCTCTGTGAAGCCTGAATTCAACTAAAGGGCCAATGATAACTATCAAAACGCCTGCCATTTGATATAATACCTTCCTTGAACAAAGAGCGCTAAATCGTCCAACTAACTTTTCATATCTCATTTTACCTGTTCCTAACACTCCATACCTCTCCAACTCAGTTCTTTTTGCTTTCCTGTTCATCCCACTCCCAATTTCCCACAGTTCAGTTTTACCAAATTCAACTAGCTTTCTTCGCACTCATTGAAGATAGCTGTCACCTGTTAGTAGTAGAAAGTTAGGTTCCAAGTTAAACCTAAGGGTTCATTTCCATTATCGTACAATTTGTCTTAAAGATCCCCAAATAACTGCTCACGACAGTAACTCTGAATTTTAGTTACAGCATTCGATTGTACCACTACGAAAGTTTAGAAGCTTTTACGGCAATCATAGTATCTGCACTCAACTGAAGGTCCGATTTATTAATTTTAGCGTGGGGTGAGCGATAGACTTGCCTCCACGTGGTGCACCCTGGGTAACGTATACGCATACGTCAAAAAAGTCTATTGATTGGCAGTTGACTTCTGACTTCAAACTATTAGGTTGGCAACAAAGTCATTGCCGATTTCAAATAAGAAGGCAAATTTGGAATTTTTGTTTCAAAATATAATTTTATTCAATTAGATATTGGCCGTTCTTGTCGATGACCTTTTTCCATCGTTCTGGCAGAGTAAAAATTCCCCGTTCGTAAAATGTCTGGTCTTTGCTATTAAAAAACTGAATTAGGTGTTATCCGACATCATCCGCGTTGTTAACAATTTCACCATTTAAAGAGTTTTGCATGGAACGAAACAAATGGTAATCCTCCGAAGGCGCAAGGTCAGGGCTATATGGTGGTGTGACAAAACATCCCAACCCAGTTCCAATAATGTTTGCCGAGTAACCAAAGATGTGTGTGGGGGGGGGCCTTGCGTTATCATGATGGAAAACAACACCCTTCCGATTTGATAATGCCGGCTGCTTATCTTCAATTGCATCCTTCAGTTTTTCGAGTTCTTCAACATACACATTTGAATTTATCGTTTGGTTCTGCGCCATGAGTTCAAAATACAAAATTCCTTTGTCATCCCACCAGACTGACAGCATAATCTTTTTTTGCTGAATCTCTGCTTTTGATACTGTTTGGGCTGATTGATCTTGCTTCACCCATCATCTCTTGCGAGTAACATTGTTAAAAACTGTCCACTTTTCGTCGCCAGTAACTAGGTTCTTCCTCGGAAATGGATCATTCTCATTGCGTTTCAGTAGCGGCGAATCACAGATGCTAATCCGTTGCGTCAAATGAATTTCCTTTAACTGATGAGGGATCCATAAATCAAGTTTCTTGACATAACCAAAGGTTTTTAATTTTTTTTCAATGCATGTATGCGACACATTGAGCTTCTCTGCACTATCTCGTGTTGTGCTGTGACGATTTGAATAGATAATGACCTTGATATGGGTTTCATCCACTTCGACTGGGCAGCCAGATCGTTGTGAATTTTTCAGTGAAAAATCACCGGAACGAAATCTTTCAAACCAATTTCGACACTGCCTTTCTTTTAAGGCTTCATCTTCATATACAGCACATAACTTCTTTTGTGCTTGCGATGCGTTCTTGCCTTTTCGGAAGTAATACAATAAAATGTGTCGGAAGTGCACGTCCTGTTCTTTCATTTTTAAATTGGGATAAAAACAAAACTAAAGAACTAAACAAAATAAATTTTTTACTAATTAACCTAGAAGCCCATACAGTAAGAAAAAATATAGGTTAGATGCTCTGGCCACGTTAACAAAACAAAAGAAAGTATAGAGTGAATCCGTCAACAAAAACGGCAATGACTTAGTTGCCAACCCAATACCATGACCCCACTGTATGTCATATTTGACCCCTTCCACAGTTCTCACCTCACCTTTATTCTACCTTTTCTACCTTCGTCTTTGAAGCACACTTCTGTTCCCTCCCCCACCTCTCTACTTTTTTTCACTTTGATGTTCCTCCTCCTTTCTGTGAAGCCCGAAGTCAACTAAAGGGCTAATGATAGCTATCAAAACGCCTGCCATTATAAATAAATAAATAAATAATTTTAGCGTTTTAAGGATTAGGCCACACTCTAAAATCCCAACCGTTTCTCGTCAAGTAACAGTGTAATATAAAGTGATACTCAGGCTCCCAAATATTGTTCAGCTGCACACTATCCACCATTTCTGATGCTTACAATACCTTTAAGGTGAAAACTAACCTCATTTAAGCAGGTAATTTTTATCAAAGAACTAAGTTTTCGCCTCAATTATTATAAGCCACGACAATAAAGCAGCAGCTGAGTCCCATAAAATAAGGTGATAAAATTTTAACTCCTCCTAACGCCTCTTGTCCCCCCCCTCCCCCTCCTCCTCCTCCTCTTCCAGAGGTACACCCACTTAACTAGACGATCACACAACATTGCGTGAAATAGAGCAATCTTAAACCGAATGGTTCGAAGAACACAATGAAAGAAACCAATGTCAAGTGGATAATGATGTTCATTGAGTTATAGAGCAGCTTTAAAGCCTGCAGGAAGGGAAATAGAACGCAATGAACTGACCGATTACGATTGAGCTTCGAAGTTTCTCGTCGTTGAATCTCGGCGATTCTAGCACTGGAGAAGGGCTGATCTTCAGCATTGCTGGCCTCACCTCGTTTGGTCATGAATTTAAGCATTTCGAATTTCAGTGTTTCCACAACAGTCTGACGTTTGATTGCTTCAAATCGTTGGCGAGCGTCTTCCAGAGCCTTTTCAATATCGACTTGGTGGGCCATAGCTTTTTCAACACTAGCAATCGAGGTGTTTGTAGTAGTTATGGATGTCGTTTGTTCCAGACGCTCTTCTTGATCGTCTAGCCAAGCATCCAGTTCAGCCATCTCAGAGTAAAGTTTCTAAAGAAGAGAAAAAAACATATTTTATTTTGAGAAAATAAAAGATCAAGTCATTTACTAGGTTAACGTAGTCTTTGTTTTGTCGGTAGTGACTTGGGGTATATCGTAAGAAGATATTTTTGACATTGCTGCAAGCTAACTTATTGGACACTTTAAAGTCAATATTTTACTAATCATCCTGAAATTTCCGTTTAACATGGAAGGTGGGAAGTGACAAAATAATCCAAAGGGAAATATTACGTTTCAGATCCATTTTTTGTTTATTTTTCCTTCGTCTTTTCAATAAGAGTTTGATCAGAACACACGCACATAACTTAATTCAATTAATAATTTATTAACAACTACTTTTTGCGTTCGCTTATTCGGGAAAACAGAAGCTTTAAACGTTTCCACTGCAAAATCTACACTCCAAAACTTTCCTATAAAGGGGTGTGCGATAGACCGACCTCCACGTGGTGCACCCTGGGCAACGTATACTCATGCGGCAAAAAAGTCTATCAACCGGCAGTTGACTTCTCACTTCAAACTACCATCACCCCTCTGTATGCCATTGTCGACTACTTCCACGGTGCTCACCTCCCCTTTTTTCTAACTTTGTGTCTGTCTCTTTTACATCTTTAAAACACTCTTCTGTTCACCCTCCCCTCTCGACCTTTTTTTGATTTGATGTTCCTCTCCTTCTGTGAAACCTGAAGTCAACTAAAGGGCTAATGATAACCATCAAAACCCCTGCCATTTGATATTAATAATTAAATGACAGCTATCACTAGCCCTATAGTTGACTTCGGGCTTCACAGAGGGAAGGAATATCAAAGTAACAGAAAGTCGAGGGGTGGGGAACATAAGAGTGTTTCACAGGTGTGAAGGAGACGGGCAGGCACAGAGGTAGAGAAAAGAATAAGGTGAGGTGAGAACTCTAGAAGTATTCGAATGGGGCATAGAGTCGGGTCAGGAAGCTTGAAGTTAGAAGTCAACTGCCGGTTTATAGACATTTTTGCCGTATTAGTATACGTTGCCCAAGGTACAACCCGTGGAAGTAAGTTTATCCCCCAGCTTAACGCACAAAGTTCAGTTGGCGTCCAGACCCCATGTCTAAAACCTCATTCCTTTAAGATTTGGAGGTGCTCAGTTGGAGGCCGGCAAAACGAAAATGTCTAATAGAGGGTGAGGTGGCGGTAAAATGAAGCAAGAATTTTAAGAGTCTAGCCTTGTTTTAACTCAATTTAAAAATGCTTAATTACTCCATCATACCAACTTAAGCTCCTTTGTTGTTTATATTCATTTGTTTATTTCTTTATATTTATTAAATTCTAGTGGTTCATTTTAATCCGTACCTACTTACATTGAAATGATCTAAAGGGATAAGGTATATCTGTCTGGAATTCTCACACTTCTCTCAGTAGATATGCTCTAACAATTTTTCTAAATTCAAACTTGTAGCAGAAGATAAATGCAACAAATTTATCCTTCTTGAATTGGAGATTTTAAATTCGCAAAGGAATTTAAGACGTCCAAGAAGGAATTCGTGAGAGATTCAACCTCAGAGTAATTAACGCAAATACCATTGCACCGACGAAAATGTCATTGAAATTCCTGCGAATCTCTCAACACTTTGTATGATTTTCGCACGCAATGCGAGTCATAATAATCGTCCTCGATGAAATATGCGGAAGGCCCTAGGCTTGTTGGGGTATTAATACAGGACCCCAGTAATTATTGGAGGGTGGAAATGTCTATCTGGTCAAGGAAAAGATTGGAAAAGTCTTCCTTTTAACTGGTTGCCAGTGATACCGTGACCAGTTTGCGTGCCTGCCAGGTTAAAGATCATGAGGTCAAAGGTCATCGAAGCACACCAAACAATATGGATGACCAACCACATTTGTTAAATCTGATAGGCAAACGGGATGATAGGAAGTGAATTCCGTAACAGAAGGGTCCAAGAATGCTTTAACTCTGTTCAGATCAAATTTTCCTCTTGAGATTGGTATGTTTCGTCTTGTTACTCTGCCATGATTAGAGTGTTCAGTTTCCATGTCTCCCAAGTTAGGGGTGATAGATCGGTGTTTAGTAAGGTGAAGAGTCAACCGAACTGGCGACTTCAGATAAACAAGGATGGGTGGCATCAAGGCAGTCCAAGAATACTCACCTTACTCTTAGCCTTGTGCAATACGGAAGTTTTGTCAAAATATCGCCAAATGCTTATGTCGATTTAAAAATTTGCATTGCTGCGATGTTCATCATAAAATGGGAACATTTTGTCCTGACGCCAAAACTTAAAAACCTTTTATTGAAAACAATTTTAAAAGATATCGAGTTAACATAGGGGGATTTTAAGAACATTTCCTATTTAAATCTTATGAAGTTTCATAATCTTCTTCCAATTTCAAAATTCCTATTGGATGCGAAATAAATTTTGTACTTTTAAGTGCACTAAGTTTTAAGTAGATTGGACGATGGCGTCTCTTCAATCTTGGCATAATTGGAAAAAACACCCACTTATTTAGACAATGCCGTTCTCGAACTCTCAAAGCTTCGAGTAGATTTCGGACCTTTCTATACTAACAGAAAATGTTTTTGCATTACCCACAAAAATGACCTACCCGTTTGTATAGCTTTATCTAATGAACTAGACAGGTTCAAGGTCAGTATACATCAATATCTATCCAAGTGTCTGCCTTGCGGTTAACACTATTTCCCACATGCTCGCACCCTCAGGGAGTTTGGGGAAAAATGGGTCAAAAAAGGCTCCAAATCGTACTCAAGTGCCGTCACTCTACAGACGAATAGACATGCGTCAAACCACCTGATTCTCAACTCAAGACCTTGCACACAAGGAAAGCCCAATCATATGCACCTAGTCTTTGTGCGGACTGCGGCTTACGACAAATGACTTGGTAGCTTTGTTTATGCGCACACCGCTTTAGTGCCTTTTAGAAGCTGCCGTAAGTAATTGGCGTAGTCGTCCTGCCCCCCCCCCCC